AAATTCATATTTTAAATAAAATATTTTATGACATAATTATTTTTTATTCACTTTGATATTTTTATAAAAAATTAATTCATAAAAATCAATAAAAGTGATTATATATTATAAATTTGTATAATATTTTAAAAAATTAATAATATTAAATAATGAATTTAATAACTTATATATTTCATAAATAGTTATATCAACTTTTATAAATAATTAGTAACTATTTTATTGACACAAATCTTATAATAAAACAGAACATAAAAAAATTTAACAATTAAAATAAAACAAGTCTTTATATTTTATAAATAGAAAAACAAAATTGCAGTAGTTAACATGTCTCATAGTAGGTCTTATACGAGTAAGGGAAAGGACAAAGGAATTAAAAAAGGAGTGGACAGTAAAACTAAGAAATTTATAACTTCAACAGTTGATATATTTGAGGCGTATTTCCTTGTAAAACTAATAGCCTATTTATTTAACAATGGTAAATACAATTTATACATGTCCCTCGTAAATGATGCTTCATAGATTTGGAACATGGTAGATGACGAGGTTACAAACGGTGATTTATTAATTTTAAATAATATTTTTTTTATAGTTTAATGTAGTTATAAAACTTGTTATAAGAAAATGGTGCATAAGAATCAGATAAAAAAATATTTCAATATTGTACCTTAGGTAATTTTACAAGTTTCTTTGAGCATAAAACTTACATGCAATACCTTCAATAATTTTTTGTGTTGGTTTCTAATTAAAATTAGAGTTTTAACTTAAAAATTAGTGTCAAATTTTAGTATGGATCTTTATTATATTGATTACTGAAAAAAAATGATTTTGATTAACAAATAACTCAAAAAATGCATAAGATAATATATCTAAGTTCTTTTCATAAAACTAGTAATTTATGGTAAATATAGATTGAAGTTTGAGCACATTTGATCATAAATTTTGGCTTGTATGAATATTCTTACAACTTTAATCGATTAGAACATTGATTAATCAGTTATCTTTTTTTTAAATTAATTTTGAATGCCTTTGAAGAATTAATTAGAAATTTTACATTATCAGTGATGTTTTATAAATACATTGTATATATTTACTATGTTAATTTTTTTTCCTGTTGACGTTGTCAGAGGGATACAAAAGTAGCTTAAATACTTTATTACAATAAATCATATAAATTAATTTAAAAGTTACATTTAATTCAAAATCTTAAGACATTTAAGTTAAGAATCTTTATCACTTAACCTATTAATGTAAGACTTTTTTCACTCAGATTTTATACTTTAAGGGTCTCTCCATTTTATTAGGTATACTTCACATGAATTTACTGATAATTCTCATACCATTTGTTGGGATTAAACAAGGAGCTTTTAGTTCATAGATCCTTCTTATTAAAAGTGTTTAAAACTAAATCAAATTATTCTTAAACTGTTAAATTGATTTGAAAAATAAAATAAAATATTGAATAAATTTAAAATTGATCAATCAGAAATAAATATATATTGCAATTTAATTTGATTTTAGATTTTCATTGTTAAAACTGAACTGAACCAAACTAAGCTAAATCGTACTTATAATATACTTATATTATTTTATATTGTATTTTGGTATTACGATTTTGTTTGAAAACTGCGCTGAATTGAACTAAACTAAATCGTACTTATAATATACTTATATTATTTTTTGTTGTATTTTTATGTAAAAATTATTTTTTCAATCAATCTTATCATAACATAACATTATGCAAATACATGATGCTCACTTTTATTTGCTTTAAACTCTCAATTTTAATTGAGTATCCATTCTTTCTTTTTTTCTTTTTATTTAAATTTATCTTTTTTTTCCCCACAATTTTATCCCTATAATTGATGTTTCTTTCTCTAATTTTTTTTTTAACAAAACCATTTCCATTTTTAACTACTACTTGATCTAAATTAAAAATTATATAATAATGCATATTGTTTTAAAAATAAATAAATAAAACCAATATACATAAAATCAATTCAATTTAGTTTTTTTTTTTTTCAAAGTGGACCAAACTAAACAACATGTTATTTTGTATTTGGTTCTTATGATTTTTTTAGTAAAAACTACATTAAACCAAAACTGCAAATGTCGTTGATACTTATCATTTAAAAGTTGGTCAACTTCTTTATTTATATTCAATTTTTGACTTCTTCACTTACTCTTGGTACTTCTAACACTTCTTAGTCTATACAATTATAAAATTATTAGACTCAATATCCATTAAATATTATCCACCAACAATTAAAAAAATATTTGTGAAATTTTAAATTTATTAAAAAATTAGACTAAATTCACTCTCTTCCTGTGTTTGAGGAGATTACAATAGCAAGTTCAGGTGTTTACATATTATAATTTATCGTTTGCGACAACGTAATACAAACAGTTCAATAATCATTGTGACATGAACAATTCATCACAATTATAGAATTTATTTGAATTTCCCCCTAATAAATAAAATGTCTCTGTTCATACCTATCTGCCACATAACTTTAATGGAGTCAGAACAGCATCACCAACTTAATAAACTTCTCAACTAGAATTGTCTTTGTGAAAATATCTGCATTTTCTTTTTAGTTTTGCCAATCTTTAACTTCATCTTTTATTTATCCTTTACATTACTTTTGTATTAGGTAGTGTTGTCATACCTTAATATGATTAATGAAATTAGCATTTCAATAATAAAAAGAACGCTAACAATTTCAATTAATTGTAAAAGATTAACCATTTGTACGAGCAGAATTCCATTTTAACCGGTCAGTTTTTGGTTTAAAAAATGATTAATCAACTGCATGTATTACATTTTTATATTATAAATAATCGATAATTATCATATCATATAGTCATTTAATATCTAAGTATTCATCCCAATTTAATGACGACTTTATATATTTCATTTGAAGTAAAATAGACAAAATGACATAAACAGTTTAACTTTTTTCAAATATTTAGAAATTATTATCGCAATTGAATCATTTATTTAAAAGCATAATTTCCTCCTAATAAATTGAGTTATATTCTAATTCTTTCTATAAATTTGCATTTGATGGTGGTTCTGTGATGTCATCTGATAAAAAGTTTATAACTTAAGAAAACATGTAGAAAGAATATACTGATTTGACCTAACTTTTTTGAGAGAATGAACTAAACGAGGTTCTTCCACCTTTGGAAACTTAGGCTAAAAGCAATAAGTCATAGATCCAGCTACATTTTGAGTTTTGAAAACGTTAAGTGTGAGTTGAACTAGTAACGTTGAAAAGAACATGAAATGGACTTTCTTTGTACAAGTGGATCTCTGTTGTGTATTCAATTAGTGTTCAACTTTCCTTCTATCTTCTATATATGCTTTGCCATTCACCTCTACAAATTCTAATAAACATTTTTTTTAACAAATTGACATTTATCAAGGGATGTAAAAAAAATGTTCTTTTGATACCCTTGTGGTGTTGAGGGTATGGGGAATAAATAAGAAGGGAAAAGAGAAAAAGTAATAAATATAATAGAAAGTAAGAAAAAGATGTAAAGACAATTTTAACAGTAATTATTAATGAACAATTTTTTTTATATCTTTAGTAATTAATGTTCTTATTATTTAATATTTTTTTTCATTTAAGGATATTTACATAGATTAATTTTTTTTTAATTGACGCATATTTTTATTATATCTTAACCAAAATGTCTTTATTTACATTTCCTTTTTTTTAAATTTTTTTAATCACCCACAAATTCACACAATTTGACAGGTGAAAAAAGAAGAGTCGGTAAATCAGAAATGAGTTAAAATAATCAACTTTTGTATTATAAATAATAGCTTACTATTTAAAAAATAAAATATTAAATAATTTTTTTTCAATTACATTAAAATTGACTAAAAATAATATATGAATTACATTCATTTTTGCTATAATATTTTTTCTTTTATGCGCTCTTTTTCTAATTTTATTTTAAATTTTAGAGTTTAAAATTATTATTTTATTTTTTATTATCTGGTATAATCTTTTATATTTATAAATAATTTTTTTGATATTATTTATAAATTTTTTATTACTAGTTACCCTACAATATTAAATAAGGTATATTTAGAAAATAATGTTTTAAATTTGTAAGATAACAAAAGTTTTAAAATATAAAAGATAAAATTTACAGCAAAAGGTATGAAATTGAGGGAGTACGTCTAACCTCCGGAGAGTAATTCAATAATTCTACATCATAACACTAGTGGCTTAAATAACCACCCTTTGCACTTCAATTTTTAGAGCGTCTAATGAATATTTTTTCTTCACGACCAATATTTTTTGTTTGTTGCTTTTTAAAACTGTGTGGTAGGTTGTGAGATTTATTTAAAAAGTATTTTAAAGTTACTGAATTGAAGGAAACAGTTGATTAATTTACTTAAAGTAATAAAAATAATGTGACACTATGAAAAAATTATATAAAATGAGAATGAGAATTGCTTGGTTAAAATGCAGTGTGATAAAATCAAGAGAAATTAGTAGCCTTGAACATGTGACTAAAGTTTTAGGGTATGTTTGGGAGGACTTTTGGAAGAGAAAAGATGATGTATTTTTAATTTTAAATAAATAAAATTATATATTATTTATAATAATAAATATATTAATATATTTTTTAAAAATATTAATTTTAAATATATTTATTTAAACTTAAAAAACTGATCTTTCCTCTCCTCTAAAATTTCCTATCCAAACAAGCCCAAACAATCACTCAGGTTAGGACTGTATATAAAAACTAATCCAACATTTATAGGGTCATTATGATACTCAAATAATGGCACCTCACAATTATTACTTCATATCCACTCTAAAATTAAACTAGACCTACAACCATGTCTACCAGACAAGGTCATGACCTTACCACCACAAAATGGATGACAGTGCCTCACTATATTTTATTTTCGTACTATATTCCCTCTATATATAGTTATCTGAACTCATTCTTCCCAACCAACAAGGCACTAGGACAACAAATTAATGGATTTCTCCCGCTTTCCCTCCTTTGCATCTATAAGAATTCTTTTGTTTGCTTTCTGGGTTATAACGTTGTTTCCTGAGTTTGCACTAAGCATAACAAGGCACTATACATTTAATGTACACTAACGAAACTCATGTTGCATGAAGTTTACTTATATAGCTGCATTACCACTAATTTATTCACTTCTAATTTTTCTACTTGTTTACTTCTTTCATGTATAAAGATCGAGTACCTGAATGTCACTAGATTGTGCCACACAAGGAACATTCTGAGTGTGAATGGCAAATTCCCAGGACCTCGCTTAGTGGCAAGGGAAGGTGACAGGGTTGTGGTCAAGGTGGTTAACCATATCTCAAACAATGTAACCATTCATTGGTATGTACTTTTTATTTGGAATCCAGTTAAGATAACCCTCTCTCTTGGGCAATGCTTCATATAATGTTATAAGTTTTGTTAATTTTGAATTGATTCCAAGCATTTAAAAATAATAATTTTTATTAAAAAGTAAAATTTGTTATATTTTTAAAATAATAAATATTTTTTTAATAGAACTTTCTTTTCAGTTGCTTATATTAACATTTTCCTAATATTATTCTACTTATATCATGCAATTTTTTTTTTGCTGATCATGGCCTGTGGCAGGCATGGCGTTCGTCAGATAACAAGTGGGTGGGCTGATGGACCAGCATATGTGACACAGTGTCCTATACAAACGAACCAGTCATACACATACAACTTCACCATTGTTGGGCAGAGAGGGACTCTGCTTTGGCATGCTCACATATCATGGCTAAGAGCAACCCTTTATGGACCCATCATTATCCTTCCCAAGCACAATGAATCTTATCCATTTGAGAAGCCATATAAAGAAATTCCCATTCTTTTTGGTATAATTAATAGCTAGACACTATATAAGTATATATCTATCCATTTATGTGTGTGTATATAACTACCTGCAAATATTTTAATAGATATAATTATGTATAGTGAAAACATGCATGGTTTTGGGGATTGCAGGAGAATGGTTTAATGTTGACCCAGAAGCTGTTATAAATCAGGCACTGCAAACAGGAGGAGGACCCAATGTTTCAGATGCATACACCATCAATGGCCTTCCCGGTCCCTTGTATAATTGTTCTTCTAAAGGTACAAAACAAAGCCTTATACAATGACTGTAAAGTAGATCTTCAATATACCCCATGAAAGGAAATATTGTTTTAGACGTGAGTGGCCGAGATTGCTAGTTCAGTACCATACAAAAATTTCTGGTGTGCTTTGGCAAGTATGAAATGGAAATAAAGTAGGAAACTTGTGAATAATAATATTAATCTTTATTACTTCCATTTCACAATCATATTCCCCAACTTTCACTTTTACCACATGTTAGATTAGTTAAAAAAAATGAAGGACAATGTAGATGCTGTTTGGTCTAAAACAATATTTTCTGTTTATATTTTTTTAATTATAAAAAATTCACGTCTTCCTTTATTTTTTAAACAAAAAAAGTGAAAAATAATTAAAAAATATTTTATTGTTTATTTTGTATAAATCTTTAAAAACAACAAATAAAATAAAAATAATGTATACCTTTATAATTAAAAGTAAAAAAATAAAATTACCTTTTCAAAGTAAAAACGTCCGTTTAGACATATGTGATTTTTAATAAATTACTAATTTTTATGACTTAAATATTTTTTATTGTATAATTTTGTTAGCTTTTAGTTTTAATCAATGTGAAATTTCCTTTTTTGTTTCTTATAATTTTACTAATATTTTATTTGAGCTGTCATGTTAATTTTTTGTGGAATCATGTTATTGAGAGGGATTAAAATAAAAAAATAAAAGACCTAAAATACAAAATTCACAAAAATACGTTATAGGCTACAAGCATATTTAAGTCATTTAATTTTTAACCTTCTCAGCTTCATTCACAGAGTACAATGTAACATAAAAGGTATGAATGTGTGTTAATATCTTTATTTATGGGTAGGAGTGACTGAATACAAATAAAATATTGCATACATTTAAATTTTACTATTAATTTTTTATTAATAAATAATATTTTTAAAAATTAATTTTTAAGAAAGTTCTGTATAGCTGATGTGATCTAATTGGATAAGAATTAGTTATTTTTGTTGTTGAAATGAAGAGAAAAAACTAGAGGCAGGTTAAAGGCACAATAGACTAACTAAGAACAATCAAATAATGTCTGAAAATAATAGACAACTATATCCAACTCATTTTCATCTATGCTAAAGAGAAAAAAACTAACACTGGATCTGTATTCATGGCTTTTGAAGATACATTCAGACTAAAGGTGAAGCCAGGCAAGACATATCTACTAAGGCTAATCAATGCTGCACTCAACGAAGAGCTCTTCTTTAGCATTGCCAATCACAGCTTAACTGTTGTTGAAGCTGATGCTAAATACACCAAACCATTTGATACAGATACACTCCTCATGGGACCTGGACAAACCACAAATGTGCTTCTTAAAACCAAGCCATATTTCCCCAATGCCACATACCTCATGGCTGCAAGGCCTTATTTCACTGGCCGTGGCACCTTTGACAACTCCACCACCACTGGTATCCTCCTTTACAAGCAACCCTTGCATGACCCTTCTCCTAAAACATTCCCACTTTTCAAACCAACACTACCACCCATAAATGCCACAAACTTTGTAGCCAACTTCACAGCAAAATTTAAAAGCTTAGCCAATGCCAAATTCCCTGCCAAGGTACCCCAAAAAGTGGACAAGAAATTTTTCTTCACTGTGGGACTAGGGACTAGTCCTTGCCCACAAAACACAACATGTCAAGGGCCAAGTAACAACACCAAGTTTGCAGCCTCAGTGAACAATATTTCTTTTGCACTTCCATCATCAGTTTCTATCATGCAAGCCTACTATTTTGGACAGTCTAATGGAGTTTTCAAAACTGATTTTCCTGCTACCCCTATGAACCCTTTCAATTACACAGGAACACCTCCAAACAACACAATGGTTACTAATGACACCAAGCTAGTGGTGCTCAAGTTCAATTCCAGTGTGGAGTTAGTGTTGCAGGATACTAGTATTCTTGGGGCTGAGAGCCACCCTTTGCATCTTCATGGTTATGATTTCTTTGTTGTTGGGCAAGGTTTTGGAAACTTTGACCCCAACAAAGACCCAGCAAAGTTTAATCTGGTTGACCCAGTTGAAAGAAACACAGCTGCTGTTCCTGCTGGTGGGTGGATTGCTATTCGCTTTTTCGCAGACAACCCAGGTTGGTACATTTCAATGAAAGCATGAATTTGTCATACGTTAATTATATTTTATAGAGCATGTATTTGTTGGATAAAACTTTGTTGTAATTATTTAAGTAAGTTAGATGACACTTAGGTGTATTTATTGCAAACAATTTAGGTATTGTTTTTTAATTAATATTAAAGTTTTATTTTACAAACCTATAACAACTTTAAATATTGTTTTTCATTATATAATATTCTAAAATGAATTTTTAATTTTGATTAAAAAATAATATAAAAAATGCTTAAAGACCTACATTTATTTTTTGTTCGGGTTCATAACTTTTTTTTTTCTCAAACGAAAATTGTTTCATAAGAAAGAAGGACGCAAAGGAATTAATTCTCCATAAAGTTGGTGGACTGCAATTGTAATAGAAAATTTCTATGTAAACATATTTTGAGTCTTTTTGTCGCATTAATAATATGACATTGTTATGTTAATAAAATGATATTTAAATCCTTTTAATGTTAGTCAATATAAAATATTAAAAAAATAGTAAGTGTAAGTGATAACTCAATGAAAGTCAAAATAAAGATTTTCTAGTTTTGCTTTTAGATTTTACGTTGAACGTGCGACTATGCTGATTTTGGAGTTTGATTCAACTTTGAAACATCTTTGGTAAGAGAAAAGTTGCAATTGAAGTTATACACGTACTTCAATTATCATTTCAGTTTGACATTTTACATTTTATTGGATATCTTCATTTAGCCATAACATCCTATAATTATTTTTTAAAAAATAAATTATATATGCTCTAACTCTTATAAATTGATGAACTCGTTCAATATTTCCCCATTATCATCCATATGTAATTTACATAACTGATTTCAGTGTAAATGTGCAATTCATATCTTTCCTGTATCTTTTTTCGGAAAGATAAGGGATATAGTAACGGGAATGTGCGGTAAAAAAAAATAACTTTCTGTTTTATTTTATAAAGTAATGTATGAAAGTTAGTAGTTGAAATTACTTAAAGTGAGCAATGAAAGGTGCATGTAATAATTCTTCTCTAACCTCGCAACTTCAGTTAAGAGTTTTTATATTACACATTAAATTGGAGTATTTATTATTTGAAATACTTGAGATGAAAATAAATTATTGAAAACTGATTCAAGGATCGTAGATATAATAAAAATCATTTGTGGGATATCATTATGTCTTACAATGCATTTATTAAATTTACCACATGAAAAAAAAGTAAAGGTTTTGTAAATTCATTTATTTTCTAATGAGATAACGTTGTTGAAGATTGATACTGATAGCAATATACTTTGCACACCCTTTTAAAAGCTTGAAATGAGGGTATAAAATTTTGTATAAATGACATGATATCTCTTTGTAACAAAAAGTTAGATAGAATGACATTGTGATCATACATTACTTTATAAACTGGTTAAATGTTATGTTACATTAAATGGCTTATGGTGGCAACAGGGGTGTGGCTCATGCACTGTCACCTAGACATCCACACAAGCTGGGGATTGAGAATGGCATGGCTAGTATTAGACGGAGCTGGGGCAAACCAGAAGCTGCCACCACCTCCTTCTGATCTTCCAAAATGTTGACTTTGACTATCCCTTTGGTGGGTCCAGATTCATTGGCCCTGCCTCATTTCCTGAGTTATACTCCAATGTCTTGTTCCTCTTTCAACAGCAATTGTGAAATTCTTTTGATGTGTTAAGGGAAAATGAATAAATTGTGACTCGTGTCATTGTGGGGTTTGTTCAGAAAAAAGGTTTGGTTTGTCTTCTTGTTGTCATGTTTAGTTAGTTGGTCGGTTGAGGGAATGAGAAGTTCACGAGTAATAGTCACAAGGGGGTTTACTTTCTAATTGTGAATGTTCAAAGCAATAGCTGATAATTAAATATTTGATCAATTACTCTCATTATATTTCTTCTCTTCACCATTGTTTTACTTCTATTCAAAGTCTAAGTTACATTTTTGTCTTCTGATTAATTACGATTCCTTTTAGTTTGATAACTCAACCACTTCTAATTTCACTCATTTTGGGTTGGGTACTTTGACTTACAATTGTTGTTAGCATTTGAACCCTTCATTTATATGATCATGTCCCTTCTCTAATTCTCGTTTCCACCATTCCCAAAATTTAGAAGAAAACATATTTTTCAAACAATTAAGGAAAAATACCTGTGTACCCTTAGCTTAATCGTGGATATTGAAATTAATTTCCATAACTAATAAAAAATCACGCGGAGATGTTACTTCAAATGGTTCATGCTAATTGTGGCATCATATTTGTTCAATTATATTGTAGGAATTACATAATTACTTGACAAAAAAAATGAAAGAATTACATTATGACAACTATGAGATGGGACAACGACTGTGCTCCCGCTTAAGGACAATGAAATACAAATGCCATAAATCATTGCTTCTTCACTTTATGCTTAAAACATAAGCATAAATTCAATAACTCACCATTAAACTTCTTTAAAAATTAACCAACCATTTAAATGGCCTAAAACCGTAGTCAAGTTGCAAGAACAAAGAATAAAACTTGACATTTCTCATTCAATGCTATCGCCGTCAAAAGACAATTTGGTCGTGTAATCTTGAATTTCACAATCACTGGTAACTATAGGCTAGATGAAAGTAAGAAAACTAACCATAGGTCAGGAGTTTTAAAAAGAACTCTTTTTCTGCTGTGGGTCCTCCTCGTGTGGAGCCCATGACGTTTTACACTTCTCTTCGTTTGTGTTGGCACGTGACATAGAGGAGTTTTAAAACTTTAGCATCGATTCTTCCTTGGCATGCACGCACCAATTCCTAATTAACTACCACTTCGAGTTTGAGAATTTATTATGATTATTATTATTTCGTTCTGATTGTGATTGAAAAGATAGATGAATATTGAATTAGGAATTACTCCAAATTTTCTTCATCTAGCTAAATTGCAAGGGAAAATTATGCATTTGGTCCCTTGTCTTTATTTTAAACCCCAATTAGTCCTTTAATCTATTTTAAATCCCGATTTAGTAGACTGATTAGTCTTTCAGTTCACACGTGTCCCCATCTGAGTTCTCCAGCAAGCTAGGCCACACTTAACTACAATATGGGTCTAGGGGGGGGGGGGCAAAGACAGGAAAATAATAAAAATATTTTATTTTATTATTTTAGAAAATTAAATTCTGAAACTGATTCCAAAATTTAATTTTCAGAATGTATTGGTTTTTTCAAAAGTTAAATTCTAGAAAGATAATTTTTAAATTACTTTCAAAATTAAATTTCAGATAGAAAACAAGGGGGTGAAAAAAGAAATTTCCCAAAGAAAGGAGCTCCAGGATATTGGAGAATAATATGAAGTCAAAATGAAAAATACGAAGAACTGCGGCATCAATAAGGATTTAACGCATTAAGAAAGTTATGGGTGGAAAATAAAGAGGGGGAAGGCCATAAGAAGAAATCTAATATTACACCTACTGAAGATCTTATGAAGTCGTCAAAATAACTGGTATATCTTCATACAATGCACACAACAGCCATTTTCAGAATTATATGTACATACTCCCTTTATAGGTAAACTCTACTAGAGCATAAGCATAGAAAAGTACTCCTCAAACTCTTGATCAATTGTTGGTGGTCTTGAATTTGATTGAGCTTCTGCATTCAAAACATAATTATATGTCAACCTAGAGATTACTAGACAAATTTCTCTATCATATGCATGTTACCTAGAAACTAGTGTAGCAGATGCTAGTAAAATCCAATCTTATAATACATATTAGTTGTCAAGAGCATGCAGAATACCTTGGTTTACCTCCCATCTTCCAGATGAAAGGACATACATGTTAGGATTCACCCCATTAGAAAAAAGAAAATCTTCAAATTCAGTATCTACAGAGTGCTCATTGCTGTCTTTTGCATGTTCTGAGTATTCATGACCTGACAAGCTTCCTAATCCCAAAAGTTCCTCATGATTCTTCAAAGCTTGTATATCAGGATCATCATAAGATGGATTGCATTTGCTATCAACAAATGCTTCCTCTTCACTATAGCTTATCCTATTTACTGTTGATATATCCAAAGAACAGTGGTTATCCTTAACATTATCAATAATGTTATTCCTATACTTTAATTTGTACACTTTCTGTTCACACGTAACTTTTATGAAGAAAAGGATAAAGGAGAATGTGAATTCTCTATCCCTTTTCCCCTACAAAGGTAGGTGTAAGCATAGAAAGCCAAGTATAGGAGTAATATCTGGTTAACATTATAGTCATACCAATTAACAAAAGAAGTGGAAGGCCTACCATATAGGTATGCATTTCCACAATCTGCCTCATGTTTGGCTTCTTCATTCACAGACATAGCAGTATCAAAGTCATCAATGAAACTATTACTGTCTTTGGCAGATTCGGGTTGGGACCCATCATCAATGAATGCTGCATCCATTCTACTCTTGATCATGTAGTTGTGCATGTTATCTAAAGCAGGATTTTCATTAAACATTGAAGCATGTTCAGAAGAGAAACTTCCAAGCCAACATTTATGTTTTGGTCTAAGCAAATCCAATTGATCAGTCTGTAATTTTCTTTTCTTTTTCCATTCAATAATTTTAAGATTGTCCATTCCATCCACCTCGAATCTGAAAAGAATAATAGAAAAATGTGAGCACATAAGAAAAGGATGAAAAAATCAGAACAATATATATATAAAAAAAAACAAATAAACCTCCACATCACGCATAATGAATCGGTACATAGTTAAGTCAAGGCATGAAGGAGGACTATTAATTCATTATCTAATTTGTGTAACACGGGAAAAGCTATATCACTGAGCATTTAAAGCACATACGACACAGCACAACACAGAGACTATATGATATGTTAGGGATGAAATAATCAGTTCTTTGTCTAGAATGGGTTGACAGAAAATAGTAGAAACCACATATTATGCGCCAAAATGCAATCTAAACACATACATCACATTCTACACAAACACAAGCAGAACTGCAATTACGACAGGATAAAAATTGAAAACAAGATGGTATTTCTGTAATTATCTATAAAATAAGAAATAAAGCCTTTTTTATCTAGTTTAATTAAGCATTTTTTTGTCATGCGAATTAATTAAACTAAATCTCATATTTTCATGACATAAGCATCAAAGTTTTAATACACCATATTGAATGAGAGCAAAAGAAGATTCAAATCTACAACATAAAGTACAGAAAATGGAGAAACAATCAGTAATCAAACAGAGCAAAGACAAGGAGAGAAAAATATTGATGACCCAGATAGCAAAACCTGTTAACTTGAGAAGTGTTGCCCTTCTTTTCTTCCATCTGGATCTAGAAAATCAAACTCTGACCAAAATAGAAAATTGAAGACAAGTTTCTAGAGCTGGGAGAGAAAGAGAGAGAAAGTGAGAACCTTAGAAAAGAAAAACACTTTAAGGATGCTATTCTGTGTATATCCGGGAATATAACATCCACACTTTCTTTTGTCCCCTCGTCGTTTCCCATACACTCCACAAGCGCGTGCATAGCACGAAAGAACTTAACTGTGATCTGAGTTCCTTCTTTGTAGCAAGATCACCTGATTCTTTGTAATAACACAATTTCTATTTTTTTTTAATTTAGTTTTATGATATAAGGAATTTTATATGTAAGTTTAAATAAATGAATAATTTAAATTTATTTATGGCGAAATTTGTTTAAGAATAAATAAAATTATATCAAGAAATGTATCCTCTGTCTGCCATTGATTAGTGGCAACTGGCAACCTGTGAACATATTGGCGCGTGAGTTAACGAGTACGAAGAACCATCTGTGTCCCCCGTGTATGCATGCATTATATCAATACGAGTGATAAATATAATTATAAATTTATTAAACAATAACAATTAATGTAATAAATTATATTAAAATATTATTAACATAATTATAAAATTTTAAAAAAATAATTTTTCAAATAATCCAAAATCCACTCAAAAATTACTTGATCCGCAGCCTGTGAGTATATGGAAACTTGCTAACTCTTTTAGGAAAAAGGTCAACTGTACATGTGTCATCCTCTCTTATTTAAATTATGCTCCACATTGGAGCCCATAATTGATAATTAATTAAACGCCCAACTTTATGAGAGGAGAAATTATATTAGCACAAAAGTTTTATACAAAATATTATATAATAAAAATTTTAAAATAGAAGAGACAACATGTGAAATAAGATAGCTAATATGATAAAAGAATGTTAAAAAGTAAGCAAAAAAAAAAAAAAGAATGTTAAAAAAAAGTGTATTATAGAAAATATTTTCTTATTTTGTTATATAAATAAATGATCTCATGAATTTATAGTGTATTAATTATGATCATACAAGATCAATTTTTTACTTCTAAACGATATTTATAAAGTATACATTTATTGGAAATTTAGATTCTCTGTTCTTTCTTTAAAATGCGACAATGTCGGTGAAGAGATCTATCATTATCCGTGCATAGATAATGTGTTATTTTTCTTCATAACAGTTTCATAGCTTAAGGGAAAAGAAGAATATTTCTGATAACTTGCATAGTATACACAAATTTTTGCTAAAGGAACCTTGATCCATTCACAATACCGTAGTTGGCAAAAGATAATGTATTACAATTCAAAATAGATAATTCAATACTGTAACCTACGTAAAACTCCCACTCATAGTTTTTCTAAACTAGAGTGATCACAAAAAATCTCAAACAAACAACCATATCACTCTAATTGCGAAAGCCATTCCCTCTTTTTGGGTACAAATTACCTATAAAAACATAACACTAATAAAAAAGGAAAGAATGTGAACAACAAAAAGTTGGAGCAAATACCTCCAAATCTAACACCAAAAATAGGCAAAGAAAAGTAACATAAGGGTGTCGATCGATCTTTTCAACATTTGGGAAGATCAGAGGGTGGAGGTGGCAGTTTCTGATTCCGCCGTTTGCCATCTTGGACTATCCATGCCATTTTCAAGCCCCAACTAGTATGCACTTCAAGGTGGCAATGCATGAACCAAACACCTGCTCATATATGATCAGCAAAATAATTAATGTGAGAAAAACTAACAGCGAATCATACCAAAATTCCAGAATATGGTACTTTAAAGATAGACTTCATATTAGATTAGTCTTCCTTTCATATTGATATTAGACTAGTGTATCAACGTTAATTTCGGTCATAAAAGTGATTTTAAAGTTTCATCAAATTAATCTTCCACTAAAATAAATTGGTGTCATAAATAATTTAAAGTGTTCTATGAATAGATGTTTGAAATAATTTATAAATATCTTAAAAAGTAGATTATTTTAATAGTTTTTTATATATAAATTATTAAAATAACTTTTTTATTATTTTGTGATCAAATTCACGTCATAAGTTTTTATTGACAAAATGTTTTATTAGGGTGCTTAGAAACGAAACTAAATATATACATTTTTGAAGTAATAAAATAGATATCTAACCTGGATTGTCTGCAAGAAAGCGCAATGCAACCCATCCACCAGATGGCACACCAGCAGTGTTCCTCTCAGCAGGGTCAACAAGATTGAACCTGGAGGGGTCCTTTTTGGGGTCAAAGTTTCCATTGCCTTGACCCACAATAAAGAAGTTAAAGCCATGAAGGTGAAGTGGGTGACTCTCAGCTCCAATAATGCTAGTGTCCTGCAGTACCAACTCCACACTGGTGTTGAATGGCAACACCACAACCTTAGTCCCACTAGTTACCATGATGTTCCTTGGGGGGGTGCCAGTGTAGTTGAATTTGAAAGGTGGGTTGGCAGGAAAATCAGTAGTGTACACTCCTTTGGATTGGTTGAAAAAATGGGCTTGGAGTAATGCAATGTTTGGCATCACAAAGGACACGTTGTTAATGGCTGCAGATACCCTTGTGTTATTGGGCCCTTGGCATGGTTGGTTTTTTGAGCATTGGCTAATTCCTAACCCAACGGTGAAGAAGAACCGTTTGTCAACAGTTTTTGGAACTTTTGCCGGGAATCTTGCACTGTTTAAGCTACGAACCTTTTTGTTGAAGTTCATTGCAAAGACAGTGTCGTTGAATTTTGGAAGCAATGGTCTAAGAAGAGGAAGCTTCTTGTTCTTTGAGTTGTTGCTTGAAAGTGAAGATTTCTTGTACTCAAGTAACCCAGTGGCTGTGGCGTTGTCAAAAGCGGCAGGCCCTGTTGCATAGGGCCTGGTAGATATGACAAAGTTGGCATTTGGAGTCTTGGATTTGGCCTTGAGAAGGACATTGGTGGTTTGTCCAGGTGTGATCAGAACAATGTTTGTGCTAAAAGGCTTTACATACACAGCATCAGCTTCAACGACAGTGAGAGTGTGATTTGCAATGCTGAAAAACATCTCATCATTGAGTGCAGCATTGATAAGACGAAGCAGATATGTTTTTCCAGGCTTCACCTTGAGCTTGAAAGTATCTGAAGAAATAGGCATGCAATTTAACTCGTGATCAAGATTGACAATGTTAGTGATTTTCAATCATATTGTATTATTTTTTCCTTCCAATTTTCTTACCTTTGACTGAGCAATTGGAGACAGGACCTGGAAGACCATTGATGGTGTGAGCATCTGAGACATTAGGTGCCAATCCCGTTTGCATTGCTTGATTTATAATAGTTTCTGTGTCTGCTTTCCACCATTCACCTACCATTTTATTCAGGTTTGTAAAACAAGTTTAACAAAATGTAAACTTTATAATATGTAGAGCTCATAGTGAATTAGTGATAGTAAATTCTGTGACATGTTTGGAGTATCTCAACTTACCCAATATGATGGGGACTTCTTTGAAAGGTCGAGTGAATGGGTAAGGGACATGTCTTTTGGGAAGAATGACAATTGGACCATAAAGAGTTGTTCTAAGCCATGAGATATGTGCATGCCACCATAATGTTCCTCTTTGACCAATGACTGTGAAGTTGTACACAAAAGTTTGGCCTGTCTGAATTGGACATTGTGTGATATAGGCAGGTCCATCTGCCCAAGCACTTTTCAGTTGGCGAACTCCGTGCCTGAAAAAATGAATCAAATGTTGAGCAAATGCTACCATTCAACAATTACATCAAATTGATTTATAAGGTCTAATTGTATAAATATAATAATACCAATGAAGTGAAACATTGTACTGAACATGGTTAACCACTTTAACCACAACTCTATCTCCCTCTCTTGCTATTATTCTAGGACCCGGAAATTGTCCATTGACAGTTACAATGCTCTTTGTTTGGCAAAGCCTTGTCACATTTTGCATTTTGATCTGAAGAAAAGAAAAAGGGAAAAAGAATATAGTCGATAAAAGCAAATTAATTTGTGCAAAATTGAACTGAAAGCATCTATTTGTATATATATAAAAAAACATGACAATGAAATGAAATACACATACGTTAAATTTGTAGTGCCTAGTTACTCGAGCATGTTTTGCATGTGTTAGCTCTGGCAATGTAGACATGGCACATAACAAAAGGAACATTGCCCTCATGAAGGTTGGCATGCTGAGATAAGCAGAACCCATTTCCCTTTTTCACTTCTAAATCTTCTTTTGAAGATTTTGAACTAGAAAAATAGAGCTTGCTGTTTTAAGTTTTGATGGAGAAAACAGCAAAGTGAGGCAGCTTATATAGTAGAAATGGAATTAATGGTATTAGATAATAATTAGGTGGTTGAAAATGAGATATTACAGACTTGGGATGCCTTCAGCAACAAAGTTTCAAACTTGAACCATGCCACTAGCATGCTGCTGGCAATGCTTAAGAATAGAGTACTTTACAAGCCAGATTATATTATTTTGGAGCTTCCTCTAACGGTCTAACTTCATTTTCCAAAATGGCCCTTGTAAGACAAGTAATGATACTAGATCAAATTATCCCGATTAAATAGATTTCTATTTTGGGTTTTGTTAATGACTTTTTTTTGTTGAAAATATATATTTACTATATTAAAATTATATAAATATAATAAATATTTCTAAATCAAATTTACTATTATTAATTATTTAAACTTAGCCTCAAAAACAGAAATTAATATTTTTGTATCAATATTAATAATAGCAATGGTACAAGTCATAACTCTGAGATTGGACAGAAGCAGATCCAAGTAATCTTTTGAAATTTATTGAGACCTCATGACAATGATTCGTGGTAGTTAATCAGTGAATCTGTTTGAATAGTAAGAGATCGAGGGCCAATTTGGTAAAAGTAGAATATATTTGCTATTGTGCACTTTGAGTGAGAAATAAAATAAATAAAATGTGGATAAATGAAAGGGATTGAACATCACCAATTGGGTTTGATGGACTCGGTTGCCGCGTAAACTTCAGCCTCCTACCGTTAATACTTGCTAATAAAGGAAGAAAGGGAAAGTTGCATGTTTACATCACATTGTTTCGTTAGCTGTGTCGGTTGTTAATTTCATGCTTAATTTTTAATTTTATGAAGTCTAACAGCTTTTGATGTCATTGCCAATGGCACTTATATTTATCTTTGAATGAAAATAACCCTTGCAAATATCTCACTTATATTTTCTAGGACAGGGATTGGTTTGCATATATATATATATATATTTCTCACTCATACAAGTTAAATCTCATATTTTTACTAGTTGTTAACTTGTGTTTTTTACTTTGTTCAAGTTCAAGTATTTTATGTTGTGAATAGGATATATTTATATTTATTAATAATTAATTTAATATTTTTAACGTCTATTTTTATTATAAATATTCTTTAAATAAAAAGCATTCTTTAGATTTTTTTTAATGTAGAAAGATCTTTTAAAATTTTTGTTAATGCATAAAGATTTCTTTCCCTCAATCTTTGAATGACATTTATGTTGTTAACTAGTTCTACAAGTTAAGGTCTGTAATCATTTTATCACAATCTTTGAGTAAGAAAAAATAATACTGCTAAAAATAAAAAAAATTAAATCCTCATTTTAGTCTTTAAGAGAATATGTGTCCAACATTTTAATCTCTAAAAAATTTAAAATATTATATTAGTCCCTAACTTTCATCTCTATCTTTATTTTAGTCTTTAAATGTATATTTCGTTAACAAATAGTAACAGAAAGCTGACATGTCATGTTATGTGCTATGTCAGAAGTCTAGTTGGCAGAAACTGCATTGTTTTGAAGGGTTAGGGAAGTGAACGTGACAGAATGATTTTAATTGGCAGAAACAGTGTTGTTCCAAAAAAATTTAAAATGCCTTAATAGCCCAAACATATCAGCATATATGTTATAGATTATGTCGCTTTAGTTCTTCCACTAGGGTTTTTTTTTCACCATTAAGTTTCTTCCTTCCATTGTTAGGATTTTTTCCTTCCTTTTACTATTAGAGTTTCTTCCTTCCATTGTTAGGGAAGAAAGATAATTACCGAATCCTTTATGTGAGTCTTCTTCTTTCGAGTATAACAAACTTCAATCTCAAATTTTTCAACGCCAAACACAACTACCAAGACCAATTTCGATGAGATTTTGTAAAAAATTTAGGGTTCTTTTCAAAGACTAAAGGGAAAATATGCTATAACTCACAATAAATTAAGAAAAAAATAATTATTGAATCCTCTATGTGAGTCTTCTTCTTCCGAGTATAACAAACTTTAATCTCAAATTTTTTAGTGTCAAACACAGCTACGAAGACCAATTTCAGTGAGATTTTGTGAAAAATTTTAGAATTCTTTTTAGAGATGAAAGGAGAAATATTTTGTAACTCACAATGAATTAAGAAAAAGATAATTACCAAATCCTCCTCATGATTCTTCTTCTTCTGAGTATAACAAACTTCAATTCCAAATTTTCTAGTGTTAAACAAAATGATGAAGACTAATTTCAGTGAGATTCTGTGAAAAATTTTAGGGTTCTTCTTAGAGACAAAAAAGGAATATGCTATATCTCACAATGAATTAAGAAAAAGATAATTACCGAATTTTTCATGTGATTCTTCTTCTTTCGAGTATAACAAACTTCAATCTTAAATTTTCTAACGCCAAACATAACTACCAAAACCAATTTTAGTGAGTTTCTACAAAAAATTTTAGAGTTCTTCTTAGAGACAAAAGGGGAATATGCTATATGTTACAATGAGTTAAGAAAAAGATAATTACCGAATCCTACATGTGATTCTTCTTCTTCTTCTGAGTATAGCAAACTTTAATCTCAAATTTTCCAGCGCCAAACACAACTACCAAGACTAATTTAGATGAGATTCAGTAAAAAATTTTAGGGTTCTTCTAGAGACAAACGGAAAAATATGCTATAACTCACAATGAATTAAGAAAAAGATAATTACCGAATCCTCCATGTGGTTCTTCTTCTTTCGAGTATAACAAACTTTAATCTCAAATTTTTTGACGCCAAATACAACTACGAAGACTAGTTTTAGTGAAATTCTACAAAAACTTTTAGGGTTCTTTTCAAAGACAAAAGGGGAAATATATTGTAATGTTTGGGTAATTAGGGCAATTTAAATTTTTTTGGAACAACGTCATTTCTGCTAATTAAAACTATTTTTCCATGTTCACTTCTCTAATCTTCAAAACAACGTCGTTTCTACTATCTGAACTTTTAACATGGCACTTAACATGACATGTCAGCTTTTTGTTACTGTTTTTTAATAGAGTCTGCATTTAAAGACTAAAATGAACGACATAAATAGAAGTTAGGGACTAATATGACATTTTTAATTTTTAAGGAACTAAAATGTTGGACGCTAACTCTCTTGGGGACTAACATGAGGGTTTAGTCAAATAAAAAATATTATTGTTCTGATCTTGCACATGCAAAACATAGTGGATCAAGATTAGTTCATGTATAATACCTCTTTTAATGAGTCTATTAAAGATTACACCTTCACCCACCATATGAGGTTATCACAAACATTTTACCTCATTCAGTGACATCTCTAATATTAGTAGCTCTATTAGCCTCCACGATTTATGTTTCAACCAACGACAAAGACCTCGACCTTTTCATGTAAGTACATGAAAATGATAGATTTGCATTTTCTTTCCTTTATGAGAATTTGCACTTGTTTTAATAATCTCTCTTCAATAATTTTTTTTATAAGCCTATTCTAAGAGTTTTTAAATGACATGTAAGTAAAAAAGTCACATAAAAAAAAATCTATTTTAGTCTTAAGTCACATAAATATATTAACTTTAGTAGTTAAGTAGAGTTTTGGTTATGGAAGTTTAATATTTAATTTAGGAACAATGATGAGGTGATATGCTGAAATATGCAGAAAATTTATGTTTTATTTTTCATTATTTCTTATGCCATTTGTATAGATATATACGATGTAGTTGTAAAATTTATCTATGTCATTTCTTATGTCTTCTTCTATCTTACTTAGGCAAACTTCACAAGTTATCAACAAATATTTCTTTGCTTAAGGTGAATTTTTTCCAGTTAAGTGAATTTTGTTAAAGTGAGATAAATCTTGTTTAAGCAATTTGGATTGAAGGTTCATGTTTGCACTAAAATTGTATAAGATCTATGTCTAAGGGAGGTTAGTAGTTTCTTTGTCTTATATTTTAGAAGAATGTAAAACAATAGATAAGTTAGTGTTAAAAGTATATTCATGAATTGTTTTTCAAGTATAATTGATGAAATGCTTTTATTAATAATGAAACTTAAATATAACTCTTACACCCACAAGTATGCACAACACATGTACAATCTTTTTTGTCATTAAATATGATTCCATATTAGTTATGGTGTTTAAACTTTAAACTCAAACTAATATTACACTTTATGAAGTTATGAATTATACCAAAATTGTATATTATTTTTATATTTCTTAAAGACTTTTTGTTGCTTATTATTTTGTTGTACTAAAAACAAACAATAATCTTTTAATAAAAAATTATAGGATTTCTAATATAGTATTAATAAAATATTTATTAATTTTTTATTATATATCTTTAAGCATACTAGAAATTTTTTTTACAAATGTTCACTAATAATTTTCAATCTTAAGCTAGGTGATCTTGACTATGTTGGTCTTTGTTCATAATTTAAGTGTTGAGCTGGTTTAAGAATTTTTTTTATTAAACCTTAAATAAAGTTTAAAACAAGTTTGTTTTAATTTTTAATTTTTTTTTCAAAACATACACTCAAAAGTAAACAAAAAATAAAAAATAATTGCTTCTAGGTTCAATAGTTATTTTTTAATCAATGAATTAGATAATTTTGGTTGTGTTATTCTTTATTCATGATTCAAGTGTTAAGTTGATTTAGAAATTTTTTATTAAATCTTAAATAGTGTTTAAAATATGTTTGTTTCAATTTTTAAAAATATTTTCTTAAATAATACTTCTAAAATATAGGCCAAAGGGAAAAAAAAAAGACATTTCTAACTTTCTTTTAAAAATATTAAAAACATAAAATGTGATAACATCGTTGAAATTGTAATGAAATTTAGTTATTTTTATTTTTTTATGAATACATAAAGTAATCACATTTTTTCACCTTAGGTGTGATAAATTCTTATATGATAAAGTTGTAAGCTATTTTTTTATTTGATTTTTTTATATTAGAATAATAATTAAAAATTATTTATGACATAAAATTAATTAAAAATATTGAAATAAAATATAAAAAATCATTTATAAATTTATTAAAATAAATTAAAATTTTATAAAAATTATAAGTTTTTCTTATAAATTATTTATATATATTTTTTCAAATGTCTCTTGTCAGGCCACTTTCTTATTAACACAAATATTATTAAATTTAAATAGTTTTCTCAATAAAAAATAAAATATACTGTATCTTTCTTTAATTGAATAAAATTTGTAATTTTAAAGGTATTAAACATTTTTAATAAATAAAATAAAATATTTTATCGTGTTAAACATAGAGCTGAAGCACCACTCTAAAATAATTTATTCCGTCCTTCCCTTTATTAATTAAAATAAATTATTTAAAACCTAAATTATTTAAGAGTTAAGGTAAAGATATCATGGATTAACCCAAACCCTACAAACACTGCAAAATCTTACCTAAATTCATACGAAACTGAATCACACTACCCCCAAGTCTTAATATTGTAAAACCTAATTTCTCTCTCTCCAAATCCAAGGTTGCGCTCGATTCTTGCCTAATCTGTTGAGCTTTGAAGTGAGGAGTTGGAACAGGCAAGGTTACAAGCTGAAGAGAAGAGCTTAGTTCATTTTTCATTTGAAGACAAATTTCGATTTTCAGCCAGGAGCCAGGTCTTTTACATCACCCCCTTCTTCTTCAAAATTTGATGGAATGTTTGAATTTTTGTGTGAGAATTTTCATTCTTCTCTATCCATCGGTAGCATTTAGATTTCAATGTTATGGGTTTCTTTTATTTGTCTGTAATGGACTCTGGTTTTTGAAGCTTTTGATCCAACATTGTCAATGAACAAATTGGAACATATTAGGAGACAATACAAGAAATTATGAAGACTGCGTAATATGTACCAAAAAATTCAAGGCTCCTTAGTCGTTAGTTGATAATTCAGAATCTGCGTACTCAGTTTGAAGTGTTTAATATTAGTTAATATATGAAGTGTTAGAATATTGTAAAATACCCCAATTGACAGAAATTTGTACATCAATTAGAAGTTTAAGCTTTGTATACAAAAGATTAGAGCTGTCAAACAGGGTTTTAGCATGTAATGAACACTTATATTTGATAAAGCTAAACTACAGTGTACAATTCTAAAATAATGTATACTTAAACAAATGAATTAGGGGCAGAAATCTGTCTCAATCTGATCAGTGGATATAATATCAATTGATGAAGGTTAATATGCTGCATTACATTTAACAAATATACCGGCCTTGTCTAATTTTCTCAGCATAAAACGATACTTTTTTCACAATTTGATACTATTTTTTATGTCCATTTTGTGACTAAAACATGCTCCCTGAGTTACAACTTTACTGATAATGGCTGATTTTGAGTTCATGTCCTACCAAGAACATTGTCCTCTTTTTTCCTTGTTCATTTTAAGGCCACAGTGGACTGAATAAAATTTTTTGGCACAAAGAAGCGCTTTTGATTTGCTGGGCTTTTTGGTCCTAATCCACATGTGCTAGGGCTAGAATTGGGTCAATTGGCCATTTTGACAGCTCTAATTACATTTAACAAATATACTAGCCATCAAAGTACTACTTTCATAGAACACCGCTAGAATATGGGATTAAAAACACTCATTAAATAGATAGTTACAACAGAAGGTATTCTTGAGTTTTAACAAGTCCTACAGTGAATAACTCTGTCCAAAGAACTTCCAAATACACACCTAAACTGTCAATTTTCCTAGTGTATACGATATACTTATATTTAATAACTGCTCTCCTACAGATCAACCAACATGACAATTAATATTACACTTATATTTAATAATACATTACTGCTCCTAATAGTAATTATTAATTCCCAATAGTTATTATCAATTCCAGTCATATGTACAACAATAGTAGTCTGTACAACAATAGTAGTCACAGTCCCTTTGGTTCCCCCTTGTATGTCATTGCCTTCCATTTAATTAATACAATTTCCTTTATTTTCCATTACAAATACCAGGATCCTAATACCTCCAGAGCCATCAAATGAAAATAAAACTCATCGGCTAATCCCTAAAATTTTATAATTGGCCCTATTTTTTAGCCCATTTTATATAGTGATGTTTAGCCCTAGCCCATATAACTCATAAATAAAATAGGTTAAAGTATTTTGGATTGGAGCTGAACCAGGATCATCTCCTCTTGATGTATTACAGCCCAAATAGTCTTCCAAGTTCCAAGTTCTAACACTATCACCCTCTCAAACACCAATTTTGCAAACCCAAAAGAGAAGACGACTTTCATTAGTTTAACCCTAAATTCAACAATTTCTTCTTATTTTAGGTATGTCCTTCCTTTTCAGTTTTCTTTTACTATTATTCTTCCGAATAGTTCCACCAAAGTGCTTTCAGCTCTCTTTTACTGTCATCTTCTGGGTTTTGTTTTTTGGGGTGAGTGTGGAGAAAATGAAGGGAAATTGAGTCCTTGGCTGAAAGGAAATGAGTTGATTGGTGTTTTTGATTTGTTTCTTTGATTGAAAATGTGGGTTTTCTTTTTTTGCTTTTGATTTTCTATGGAGAGGGTATCTTGCTGTTAATGCTTTCTCGGCTGCCAAACAGTGCTTTAACTTCAGATTAATTTTCTGACTTTTTTAATTTCTAAAATTGTTTTTTGTTTTTTTCGATTTTTGACTTGTGTTGGATATTAGAAATCCATCGTTTTCTTTATTAACAAACTCCTAGATATCTCATAGTGTTGCATATGTTGTTTTTTGGGTAATGGAATGATGTATATGGTTCTATGTATTTGGTTTGTGTAGTTAGCATCAAATTTCGAAAAATCATATCTTTTAAATGGTAAGTGGAATTTAGTCTATTCTTGTATCTGTTTTGGAAGTGAGGAGTATGTATACATCATCACTTTGTTCATTGAATTAGAAAATGGACTAAATTGAATTAGCAAGTGTATGTACATTTACTTTTGGGTGTTGTATATTTGATTGTTATTTTATATTGATTCAGACTATGATTTACTTCAAACTTGAGACATGTTTAGGAATGCTGAAGGTAGAGTGGAAATCAATCATCACATTTGATCTTTATGCTTTATGTGATCATTTTGTTGGCAGCTGAGAAAGTTTTTAAGATTAACATATTTTCTGGCCTCGTGCTTTTGGAAAGCCAACATGCCAAAGCTTCATTAAAATAAGCTAAATATAGTTTGCCAGTTGTTCATCTTAGTTCATTTTCAGACCTGGTTTTTTTAGGAAGCTAGCAATGTTAAAACTTTGTTTTAAATAACCAAACAAATCTTAGCAGTTGTTTGATGTGTTCTATTATTTGTGTGGCATGAGGTATCTTTATGCTACCAAGGTTGCTATAATTTCATCAAAAGGTCCTTGACACATTATTCTGTTCCCAGGCATAGTTTATAAACATAGGGTTTATGCTTGCCTCAAATGAATGGGTGGATGTTATTCATTTTTATGTTTTGGTCATTGAATCACTGGTGGGGTTCACACAGTTAAAACTTAAAACATGGAAATGCTTAGCCCTGCTTGTACATTCTGTCATGCTTTTCTCTTGCCCTCGTTGAAGCTGTTATGGGAAAGGAGGCATTCTGCACTTGTGGCTGCAAATTACTTCCTTGTGGTTTAGGTGCCATTTAGTGGTAAACACTTTTTGATGGAATTGGAATAAGAAAAAGGACGAAGTGTTATCCTGATTTTGGAAAATGCATGTTCAGTTTTCTTGTATGATGGACCTTGGTTTTATTTTATTCTATTCTATGTTTTTAAAGGGATTTGCTCTTTGGGAGGAGCAAAAAGAAAACCCTTTGTTTTCTTTTATTGCCTCATTTTGGAGGCAATTCTACTGGATTATAGTTGATGCTGCTTTTATTTGCAAAATTTTAATGGTTTTAATTCCTTTTTCTCTTTTTAATTCTTTTAGGTACTGTGTCTTGCTCCTACAATTTTCGTTAGTATATTCATGTCCAATTCCTTTCTCATCTTTGTCAGTATTGATGGCATTGATGGTCCTTGGCGTCCAGTTTCTAATATGTCATTCTTAGTCCTTGTTTTGTTTTGAAATTCAACAAATATCAAGTTTACAATTGCATTAAAATTTCCTGCTGTGTGTTTCTAATGTTGAATGTAGGTGGTGTTTAGGACAACATTTTCATTATAGGGTTCTGTGCTTTTGTTGTTTCTTCTGATTTATCAGCATGGTGTTCTTGGCTATGCTCCAGTTTTGTGTTGTCCTAAACCCCCAATATTGTTTTCTGTACCATATCCTTGTACTTTTAGTAACTGAAATGGAGTTGTAATTTTTAGTAAAATTCATTTTGTGAAGTATGCATATTATGACCTGTTTGATTTATATAGATGATCTCACTTTGTGAAAGAAAGACCTTGCATTTTTGGTTGTATGATGTATGGAATTTGGCATTGCCTGACTGTATGCATTTTTGGTTGTGTGTGTGTTGATTCTTGGTTCTTAACATTAGTTTAAATATGATTACTTCTATCTTGGTTCATAGGCCTATATTTGTATCTTGATTCTTAAATCTTAACCTTAGTTCATGTATAATTACTTGTTTGTGTCTTGATTCTTGAAAGAACAGACTATATACCTGCAAGTTGTTTTTTTTGTTGGATTTGTTATGGTAGTGGAGACCATACTATCATCATAATGCTAAACTGTTTGTTCTGATGGGAAATTTCAAGCATTTAATTTCAACCCATGCCTCTGTAGTCCAATAATCCCTACCTGTCCCATATTAGCCAATTGCAACCAAGCAGAACCAATAAGTGAGTTTCCTGCAGGTAATATTTTGGGTATACTTTTGACCGCCTTGAATAAAATCATACCTCTGCTAAGTAGAAGAGGTTACCAGCTCACATTGGGCTTTGCTGAAATAAAATTAAAAAAACTTTATCCAAATAATATTATATTACTAAATGTTGGTGTGGTGTGGTCTACAAATGTGGGTGAGTAAGGATGGATTCCCTTTTCCTTAATTTTCATTTCCCCAAACCAACCCCTGGTTGAATCCCTTTCCTAGGATCCTGTCTAGCAATCGACAGTCTTCTTGTTTCTCCTTCATGAATTGTCAATGGTGAGTGTGTAATGTAGTTTCTTATGCTGAAATGGATCTAATCTTAATCATGTATTATTACTGTTATTATGTGTTTATTTATGTTATTCCTTGATTGTGATATGTAGATATTTGGTTTTGGTGATTATCGATTTGCTCTGTTTCTTGTAGAAAAGATGCCTCTGGGGCTTATTTTAGGAATAGGAAGGGCATTTCGAAGGAAGCGAACATCTTCGCTTGACATTCTGTCATCAAAACGAGCTCCTCGTGGTTATTACAAGGGCAAGAATTGCAAGCCTACTGGTTTCCACACCCGCAAAGGTTTGTTTCGTCAATTGAAGTTGTTCATCTGTGTTTAAGAGGCACTTAGCTTGAACTATAATACACTTTGTTGTTGTACATTGGTACTAGCCTCATGGACTGCTTGTTTGGTTGTCATATTTTGTTGAGGACAAATGGGGCATATTTATTAGTTTAGTAATGGTGGTTACTGGTTAATAGTTATCAACATGGTGAACTCCTTCAAGAAGGGCTTCATCTGCATTAATGATGTTTGCTCATTACACTAGCTTAATTATTGCTAGTGAGTACAGTTTTAAAACTATAGTTATAGAGGTTTTCTAATTCTGGACCTGCTGAACAGGATCTTCTTAATTGCTGTAAATGCAATGCATATTTAAGGTGTCTGTTGTTTGATAAACATTAGGTTTAATGTTTTCCTGTGAAACTTGTGTTTTTAGTTTTAGTCAGAATCTTGTGACTTTTTAAATCTTAGTTTATTTAACTGTACTGAGACTTCGATAAGATTGGTTGGTATGAAAGATGCTCACTGTTTTTCAACTTGATATTTATGAGGACTCGAATTGAATGTAAATCAGCATATTGTTGCAGGTGGTTATGTAGTGATGCAAGAAAAATTGCCAAATTATGTAGTCCCTGATTTGACTCATTTCAAGGTTTGCATCTTCGACTCATTTAATCTAAATGCACAACACTATCAACTCTTTTGGTTACCAGTTTTTCTTCCAAATGTTTACCTTGCTGCTCTATAGAAATGGCCATAAGCTATAAACGATATTTTCTCTCTTTACGAATGATTAGGGTTCAAGAATTTTTGTAAATATAATACGATGAATATAATTTTTTTCACTTACCGTAGTAGCTGCTTATTCCAATAACTCCTTTTTGTGCAGCTCAAACCATATGTATCTCAATGTCCTAGAGAAGTCAAGACCGCTGAGGCTTCTCAAACGGCTAAATAGCCAAATTGAGTAGTACAAGATACTTTATTTGTAACTGCAGATATTCTCCCATGAAGAGGAGTTGGCAGGCCCTTTGTTTTCTCTTTGGTTCTCGCTTCTTTTTAGCTATAACATCGAGTAACTATTGACAGGCACAAATATTTGATTTTCTGATTCTGATTGCATATTAACCAATAATTCATGTGTAATGCGATGAATGAATATCAAAATTATCGATAATTTTTTTAGTTTCCCCTATTATTTAGGTTATGTTTGGATGGGTGGAGTGGCTATTGACACTAAAATGACCTTGAACCATTGCTCGGTAGGTTCCCATCAATGAAGCGATAGTCACATGGGAGATTCAGACCACTTATAATAACTCAAATTTGAAATTTTGTATCTCCGTAATTTTTTTTTGCCCTTCCTTTTCTTTTTCTAATGCCAGTCTAAAGAATTTATGTGCTGTATATGCAACAAATATTAAAGAAAATTACAATTACATGATACAAACACCACCTTAAGTTTTTAAGATCATTACAATGATCATTACAGTCATTACAATTACAGAAAACTATAGGTTGATGGCCTCTAATGCCAGGTTCATTTAAAGAGATAAACCAACCTTCCATATTCCGCTACTTTTGCTTTACCCAATATTTAAGATCAGAATTAACAGATTTATCAACTAAAGTATAAAATGAAATTTAATAAACTGTTTTCTGAAGAAATGTTGGGGGGGGAGTGGGGGATATGAAGTTTTTGATTAAAAGAGCAAAAATCAAAGCAATGTGCCCAAAATGCAAAAAGGATTGATTAAGTTTTCTGCAGCACACCATTTTGTGTAGAAAGTAGCATATAAACCAACAAAAAGCAAAAATAATATACAGTTATTGCATTTTGTAATGAAAGAAGGAAGGACTTTGTTGGACCGAAAATAATAATTCATATCAGAAGTGAGATTAATTAAATATCAAAGTGAACATACTCTGGGAATCTTCCTTCAACTATCGAAGAGTGTTGATTCCTACTAAGCTGCAAATAGTGGAAAGACAATGACTGTAACCATAAATATTAATACAACTAATGATCTTTTTATCAGATGATATTGTTTGTAGTTTGTACCTGCATCATGTAGTATTACAAATTATGATACGACAAAAGCTGAGACCCCATGGCATCTTTTGTTACAAGGCAATGGATGTAAGCCCTGGTATAGATCTTGCAAACCTGTGACAGAAGAAATAAATTAAAACACCTGCTGATTTCTGCAAACAGTAAATCAACTAAAAATGTGACGTATCTTACAAACATACCGTACAAGAGCAAGTAGGATCAGTTGGACGGGTGTCATCAGCCATTAGTTTTAGTTTCAATGCTCCCTGCAAAATTTCTGAAAAAAATAAGTTCAAAAAGAAATTGTTGCATGAATGAGCAGAATTTAGCAATTTTGTAAACATTAGCATTATCCCAACATACAGACAACATCATTAGCCATTATACTTAAGTTTTTAAAATGTCATCAGATACACAATCAAGAAGAATTTGATTAGAAAAAAGTCAGTTCATGCCAAGAATTAAGTCTAATTGGGTTAAAGATAAACAAATAAAGTGTATTAAAAATTTTCTATTGTCAATAGTTATTAGACATTTTAAATAAGCTTGAGCGGATTGTACAAATTGAGAAGTAAGAGTAGATATCACTTAGTCATGATAAAGAAAATGTAATCTTTAATCCTAATCTTTTCACACGATCTAAAACAATGAAAGAATAAGTAACACTAAAATCAAGCATTACTTTTAAGAAAAAATCCATTTATGATGCACTTACTTTGAATTAGATCATCAAGTTGAGCAGCTTCTTCTTCGCTCATTTAGGCATTTAGATGCAAGGTGATTCTTTTCACACTTTCAGCATTTAACTCCTTTTTCTTCTAAGCTTTGTCCATCTCTTTTATAATTAGAGGTATAAAAGTGGTGGGTTTCTGAAAAGTAGGTCTAGGGGTATAAATCTTTTTCTTGTTGAAATCCCTCTTATTGTTCATAAGGCCAAAATTTTTTATCAGACTCTTCTTTTGATCTTCTAAATTTTCTTCCTTAAATTTCTAACACTTCCACTTAGCCTTAGGGTGATACTAATCAAGGTAGTTGAATCAGAATTCAAATTGTGAATTGTAAGACCTATTTTTTGAATAGTAAATCAAGTAGTATTTTGAATTGTAAGATTCAATATTAATATAAGATAAAAAAAATATAAATATAAGAGCATTGTAACTTAAAGAAACAGCTATATATTAATATTTTGAAACAAATAGTATATAACTAACAATGTGACATACACTTATAAGCAAACTAAGATTTAAATTATAACACTTAGTCATGTTACTAAAAAAGTGACTGCTTAAATTTAACATATAGTGTTTAAAAAAGATAAACAAAAAATGACACTAAGTCACTATAGAAAAAGTTCAAATAGATAAAGTATGATCATTCATCATTTCCAAGATCTATGTTACTTAGTTCATCCTCTTCATCTTCCAAAATCAAAAGTTCTTCCTCTTTTACCTATGTCTAGTAATGCCTTCAATTTCATCATGTCTTTGTTATAACTTTTTCCTTTTTATCAGTTTTGGCATTTAAGTTTCTTGGACTTATAAAACCAAAATAATGGAACAAGCATGACAATATGTATTTGAGTAAATAAATTTTTAGTATTCTTTTTGTTCAAGTTCTAATTCTGAATTTACACAAATACCTCTCTTTCTTTTCTTGCTTGGAGCTCCCTCATCAAAAGTAAAGCACTTATGTATATTCATTCATGAAGCATCATTTGGTAAGCATGGATCCTCTTTTTAAATAATTCATTCATAATTTGATTCAATATTGAATAAGCATATGAGATCATAAGTCTCTCCCTTCTCTTCTCTACCCTGTTGTCTCATCTCTAATTGTAAGTTATTGTCGCAACTGGGCGGTCGCAACAGTACGACAGATGACATGATTAAAAAAAATATCTTTTAAGAATAAAAATATTTTTAAATTCAGAGAAGTCGTCACCAAAGTTTATTTTAAAAAAATCTTGAAAAAACTTTTAAAATAATATGATCTTTGAAATAAAAAATAAGTTCAGAGTCATTTACATGTAAGAAAGGTATTAGCACCCTACAACTGTTTAAAAACGGTCACCTTAAATTAATTATGCAAATTTATTTTAATTTTGAAAAATATTTCCAAAACATTAATTATTTACATTTTAGAAGAAGGAAACAAATTATTTATTGAAATGTTAACTCGATATCTTAAAAGAACAAAAAAAAAATTTGAAAATTATTTTGACTTGACGGGTACGGTTTCGACTCCTATGTATCTCCAAGTACAATGAAAAATTCAAAGCAACGTAATTCTATCTAAAAATTACGAAATTGGTTGATTAAAATTAAGTTTAGTCAAAGAGAATTTATTTTAAAATTAAAATTATTTTCATAAAATTATGATGTTTAGGATATAAGATAACACAATTATACATGTAACCTATGAGAAACAATATAAGAGATGAAAGAAGATCACACAACTATATTGCAAATCATTAAAAATATTTTATTCGTAAATGAAGAATTTTAATTTTGATTATGATTAATGTTGAAAGAAAATTAAGATAGCGTAAGCTATATATAAATATCTTATAATTTATTGGACAATCGAAGACAATGTAAATCACACATCAATATTACAAAAAATTGTATGATAAAATGAAGAAATAATTGATTATTTAAATTTTTCTAAAATTAAAAATATGATTTAAGAAAACTTAAAATATGAAATTAATTCTATTTAATGAATGAAGTAAATATATTTATATTGTTAAAAATAAAATTATTTAATAAAAAGATTGAAATTTTGTTTAATAAATTTATGTTATATTGAACTCAAAGTAACATTGGTATACATAGGTTCTAACAATTTATAATGCGTAAAGGTAGAGTCACCACATATCAACATTATAAATTATTGTGTTAATAAAATAAATTCTATTTAGATTGATTGATTAGTAAAATAGTAACTATAAGAAATACATTTTGATTGATTATTAAAATAATTAAATTTTTAATAACATATGATAAATTAATATTACCTAAAGTCTCGGTAACGTAGGTACATATAGACTTTATCAATTTATAGCATATGACAGTAGAGAAGCTAGACGTTAATGTTATAAATTAATACAATTATATTATTTATTATTCATTAATTATATACAAATAATTTACTATTTATAATATATGAGAAAATAATTATATTAAATCACGTCATTTACACATATATATATAAAAAAGAAATAAAATATAACAATCCTAAAAATAAGTACCTAACATAAAAAATTGACATAAATAATGTAATATCATAAAAAATAAGAGCTTATTATTAATATTAAAATAAGATAAATTTTAGAAATTAAAAAAAACAACTCAAATAAAAAAATAAAAAAATATATTTAATTAATTTTAATGATTTCTTATTATAATTGTTTTAATTATTATTACTTAGAAAATATAAATGAAATATGAAAATTTAAATTAAAAGGTATTTTATTTAAAGTAAATCAAAATAAATAAAATTAGACTACAAAATGAGTAAAATTATAAGGCTAGAAGAAAAGAAAAGAAAAAAAAAAAGAAACATACAGTGATAGTGTAGAGCTCGAATTGCGTATTTGCAGTATTCAATCAAATCAATATAATAAAATAATGATAAATATTAATAAATATAAAAAAATAAAAGGTAACAAAAGATATCAATAGAATAAGGCCGTGCCTACATCTTGTCCATAGATGAAAGGAAAAAAAAGTTGATTCAAATACGTCTTTTATGCCAAGGGTATATATCTATGCAAAGTAAAAAAAAAAAAACAATGAAGAAATAAGCACACACAGAGCAAGTTCAAAATAAACAGCAAGGAAGAACTAAGCCATAGAGCAAGTTTAAAAAAAAAAAAAAATTGAAGAAGAAGAAATAAGTTTACTGAAATAGTGGTTCAACCAGTGGAACAATGGTTAATGATATATTATTTTCTTTTCTTTTTTTTTTTCTTTTCTTTTCTTTTCTTTGTTATTGTATTCTTTTTTTCAAACTTTTCTGGTATTCTTCTTTC